AATGGCCGGGAACTGAAACATCAAAAATTCCATAGGAACTTAAGGAAAAATTTCTTAACAGTGAGGGTGACAGAGCACTGGAACAGGCTGCCCAGAGAGGTTGTGGAGTCTCCTTCTCTGGAGATCTTCCAAACCCGCTTGGATGCAGTCCTGTTCCACGTGCTCTAGGTGTGCCTGCTGGAGCAGGGGGGTTGGACTAGATGATCTCTAGAGGTCCCTTCCAACCCTAAGCATTCTATGATTCTATGATATATTTTATTTAGTATAAGTATTCACTTGGAAAACTCAACAATCCCTTATAAAATACTAAGCATCCATATGAATTAAAATACAGAAATAACAAATTATGTTTACTTGATCAATAAGATATTTGGAGAAGTTTTTGATTATATTACTAATACTAGAGGCCTTTACAATAAGTTGAGACAGCAAGCAGAGAAATCTGATATGGTTAAACACTATTAAGTGTTAGCATTTGCAATACTATGTTTTCTGGAATGCCTTCTATCTCTTTTAAGAGAAATAATAGACCTTTCAGATCGTGTCTTTGCCTGCATTGGCCAATAGTCCAGTACAAAGGAGAAGATCATGAGACTGAAATAGCTGCTGCTGAATCCCCCATATCTGCCATACCTATGATTCTGAGAGTTTTCCTTGGACAATATTTAGTCTGGTCCTCTGAGTTAAATCTTCCCAGTACTCATATAGCTTTAAGTTAACAAAAGGTCCTGTTATTATTTAGAACCCTTTGTGCAAAAGGAGTTGGAACATATTTTTGGGACACTTAGAGTTGAGCTTCTTGTGTTTGTCCTATGAAAGGACAGAACTTGTCCATACCAAAACTGCTCTGCACATGCAAGAGTTACATGGAGGGTTTATAAAATGCTAATGTAGACAAGACCTGGAACCTCAGCATTTTTAGCTCAGCTTTTCTTGATTCTCTTTTTCTTTGTTCATGCACAAGTTTCCCTCCCAAACTCTAATGAGGCTTTTGTGACACAGTCCATTACTTGCAGCATGTGAGAAGACTATTATCCAACAGATCCATAGAGTAATATGTTCAGCAAGGTAGAAGTAACAGCTATGACCACAGGGGCAGTGTAACCGTGTCTGTTTACAATGACAAACACTCAATATGTGAATCATAAAGAGGTGTCATTTAGCACCTTCAGTCAGTTCATATCTGGGGAAAAAAAAAAAGCGTGAAAATATATAAGAACAGCTTATGAAGTGTATCTTGATTGACGAATGAAAGCACCAGTGCAGAGGAGAAATAATTGAATTAAAAGGTCTGAAGAGATATTAGAATTACTTAGATTATGTATTCTGATTTTCTCCAAATAATAATTATAATGTGAATTAAGTAAGCCAGAAACTGAAATATGTATGTATTTACAGATATGCAATTTACATATTTGGAAGAGTTAATGTAGATGTGAAAAGATATCTTCCATTCTTATCTTTGAGAGCAACATATGTATACTTTGTAGTGGACTATGTCTTTTTCTATCAGATAAGGATAAAGGAACTTTGGTATTATGTAAAAAAAAAATCTCTGTTAACTTTCATTCACTGAAAAGTTTCCTTTTTCTATTGTTATGTAGAATATGTATGAAGAATAGCCTTTCTGTCAGCATTTTC